CATAAATTGAAAAAAATCCTAAGTCAAAAACACACTTAATACACTTCACCTATTGAACATCATAGCTTGGCCTAGTTTACAATGACATACATTTAAATTAGCCTACAATTAGGCAAAATCATCTAACACACAGCATATTTTATAATTAAGTATTGATTAGCTCATGTAATCTATTGAATACTGCACTAAAAGTGAAAAATGAGTTTGTTTTTTTTTTTTTACTCTCAAGACAGAGTGAGGTGACTGGGAGATGTTGCTCACCACTGCCCAACATCATGAGAGTATTAAACCACATATCATAAGCCCAGGAAAAGGTCAAATGATTCATCGTAAAGTTGAAAATTTTAAGTCAAACCAATGTAAATCAGGGACCATTTATATTTGATTTCTGATACTATTCTTATGGATTACTATGATAAAAATTAAAAACAAAAAAATGAAATCTATGTTTCACAAAAGAATACTCAAATCTTATATTAAAATCAAACAAAGAGAAAATGCGGTTTCTCTTAAACTATGAATACTACTACCCAAAAAAATAATTTCAAGTTTATAAACTGAAATGTACCAGAAATAACCCTTAATATTTAGAGTGAATCAGAAAAATACTTCTTATTATAATATGTTTGAAGTTTGTGACTACTATCCAGTAAATACAAATTAGTACTATTCACACTTAAAGGCTTGAAAATTATTTGTCATGCACATCTCTGTGGACCAACTGTCATCCAACTTGGTTGTTAGCTAACTAGTCCTTTCAAATTTGGTGAGGATGATAATAGAGATTTTACTCTTTAACTGGGTTACTGCTTCTTTTCTGTATCCTTTTTACATGTAATCAGATTTTATTTTAGTTTCTCCCATGTTGGGTGCTTATCCAAACAAACTTTTAGAGTCCCATATGCCACCTTGAAATTTAACGGACAACAGAGTGATTTAATGTTTTTCACTCTCATTTAAACATTCTCAATGTTTAAAACAATGTTTAAAATTCTCACTGATTAAAACAATATGCCTAAGATAAGGATGTATATACAGAAACAGTTTTTAAAATGTAAAATCTCAAGTTCATTATAATAAATACAAATGTATCATTGTTTTTTTAATGCTGGCAACTATTAAATGACTAACAACCACAAAACATAAAAATTAGAAATGACAGAATACATAATATCAACCTCCAAAGGAAACTAAATCTAAAGAGCATAAGTTATGTCCATTATGTAAAGTGCAAATTCAAACTCAGGATTAGAATGCTAGCTACTAGAAAAAGCAGCCAAAACATTGCATCTGGCAGATAAAAATAATTCCTATGGTTTCACTTATAGCAGGAATGCAGAGGAACCAAATAAGGGATCAGGGAAGAAAAAAAAAAAAAACTATAACAAAGTAAAAATCAAAATCAACAGACAACCAGAGATCAGAGACATTCTGTAGGAGAGGAGCAGGGAGGAGGATCAGGACAGGGGCGGGAAGAGCACAAGGGACTATGGTGATGGTGCACAGGTGAATTGATGGTGGGAATTTCAAAGGGAAATCATACATTGTGCAAAAATGAAGGATGATATAATAAATATATTTAAAAAATAAATTCTGCTCAGATGTTAAAATAAATAAATAAATAAAAGATAATAATTCCCCCTACTGGCTACAAGGTGAAAGCCTGGGAAAGACAAAGTTCTACAAATAGCTGCCTAGCCCAAACACTGTATATGTATGTTAAGTATGGGGGCATCTTGCCATAAACAAAAAAAAAAAAAAAAATTTCTGCCCTCCCTGCCTGCTTATCATGGTTCTACTGTGTATAAAAGGCTCCACTACTCAATGCAAGCTTGCTGGTCCCCAGCAACCCGCCATAGCCCAGGCAGCTTCCAGTCACAGCCTCCTGCAACACATGTATGGGAAAGACTGCACAAACTTCCAGGCCACCTCTGAGATGGACAGCACCTTTCAAAGAACTGAGGCTTTCCCACTACCAAGAAAAATACATAGTTCTCTTTTTCTACCCATTGGACTCACCTTTTTGTGCCCCCTGGAGACCATCACTTTCAGAAAGTACTCAGAAAGAAGACTTCCACAAACTAGGTTGAAAGGTTCTGGGGGTCTCTGTGGACTCTCAGTTCACTCATCTGGTTTGGATCAATAACCCCTCCCCAGCCTCCAGGAGGGAGGTCTAGGCACCCTAAACATGCCTGTGCTGGTTGAAGCAACCAAAAGCTTGTCCCACAATTATGGTGTGCTGAAGTAAAATGAGGGCATCATCAACATAGCTTCTTTACCGTTGATGGCAAGGTGTCCTTTGACAGATCACCACCAGTGATTTACCTGTGGGGTGTTCTGTGGATGAGGCCCTGAAACTGGTCCAGGCCTTTCAGTACACTGATGAGCATGGGGAAGTCTATTCTGCTGGCCTAGAAGCCAGGAAGCAACACAATCAAGCCCAATGTGGATGGTAGCAAGGAATATTTCCCCAAACACAGGTAGGCTAGTAGATAAATGGCAAGCTTTGGCTCTTGGCCCCTACCTGTGTGCCTGCCTGGGTAGCCGGTGCTGACGCAGCAAAGGCCAGACCTGTTCCTTCAATCTCCAGTCTGTCACCCAGGGAGGTAGGCCATGGTATTCTCATGCTCCCACCTGGATGCTGGTGGACACTGACCTCTTCTCTGGAGCCCACCTAGCAGGGCATAGGCCTAGAGGTAACTAATAAGTATCAGGGCTGGAAAAAAAAATTTTTCTTATAAAAAATAGTAACAGGGCCTCCCGGACGGTGCAAGGGGTTAAGCACAGAACTATGAAGCAATCCACAGCCTCGGCAGCATGAGCTTGATTCTCGGCCGGCCAGGGAGCTACTCACATGGTGCAGCAGACCTCTCCTGTTTCACCCACTGTTCCCCTCAACAGTATATTCCAGTCACTCCACCTATTCTGTTCCCCACTCTGTCTCTGGTGAATCCTCTCACCCCCCACACCTCTGGCCTGTACCCCAGTTCTTGTATGCATAAATAAATAAATCTTTAAAATAAATAAATAAATAAAAATGATAATAACTATCATGCAGTATTAACAGTGAAATAGATATTTTTGAAAGAATGATACTTCTTCCTGGGCAGTGGGGAGCACAGACTTCTTTCATGCCACATTTCATAATCAGTAATTACTTTAAATGTAAATGAGCTAAACTCCTAAAATTAAAAGGCAGGTATTGGCATAACAAAATTTTTTTTTAAGATTTATTTATTTATTTATACAAGCACTGGGTACAGTCAGGAGCGCGGGAGGATGAGAGAATTCACCAGAGCCAGAGAGGAGAGCAGAACAGGCAGACTGACGAAGTACACTGCTGAGGGGAGTAGCAGGCGGCAGGAGAGGCCTGCGCACCATGTGGGACCCTTGCCCAGTGGCCAGGGATCGAACCCATGCTGCAGAGGCTGTGGGCAGCTTCGCAATCCAGCACTCAACTGCTGCGCCACCAGGGAGGCCCTGGCATAACAAATTAAACAAACAAGCAAAAAAAAAAAAAAAAAAAAGATGTAATTATAACTACATGTTGCTTCTGAGAGACTCACTTTAGATTAAAAGACACAAGTTTAAAATAAAAAGATAAAAAATTATATTCCATGCAAATTATAACCAAAAGAGTGCTGGGATGGGTGTACTAAAAAAAAAAAAAATCAACTTTAAGACAAAAACTATTAAAAGAGACAAAGAATATTACATAATGATAAAAGGGTAAGTCTGCTAACAAGATACAGCAATTACAAACATACATTTACAAAATAGAACTCCAAAAGATAGAGAACAAAAATTGACTAAACTGAAAGAAGGAACACTTGAATAGTTGGAGCCCTCAATTCCCCCTTTTAATAATGAACAGGCCAACTAGATGGAAGATTAATAAACAATACTTTACACCAACTAGACTTAACAGACATCTACAGAACAACCCACTGAACAAGAGCAGACATTACATTTTCCATGACAGATCATGTTAGGTCACAAAACAAACCTCAATAAATTTTAAATAACTGAAAACATATAAAATATGTTCTACGTATGACCACAATGAAATTAAATTGGAAGTCAGTAACAGAAAAAGCTTTTTGACAAACTTAAAAATATGTCAAAATTAGAAACACATTCAACAAAATATCTGACAAGCTAGAAAGAGAAGGAAACATCCTCAAAATTATAGAAGGCATCAATGAAAACCCTACAGTTAACATCATACTTAATGGTGAAGGACTGAAAGTTTTCTTCCTAAGATTGGGGACAAGACAAAGAGGTTTAGTCTTGTTGCTTTTATTCAGCACTGTACTGGAAGTTCAAGTCAGGGCAATTAGGAAAGAATATAAAATAATAAAAGGTAGTCATACTTACAAGGAAGAAGTAAAACAACCTCTATTCACATGATATCATCTTATACAGAAAACCCAAAATAACACAATGAAAATCTATTGGAGGGCCTCCCTGGTGGCGCAGAGGTTGAGCACTGGGCCGTAAAGCTGCCCGCAGCCTCTGCAGCATGGGTTCGATCCCTGGCCTCTGGTAGGCGAGGGTCCCACATGGTGTGCAGATCTCTCCTGCCATGCCCGCTGCTCCCCTCAGCAGTGTACTTGGTCAGTCTGCCTGTTCTGCTCCCCGCTCTGGCTCTGGTGAATTCTCTCACCCTTCTGCGCTTCTGACTGTACCCAGTGCTTGTATAAATAAATAAATCTTAAAAAAAAAAAAAGACAATCTATTGGAGCTAATAAATTAGTTCAGCACAGTTACAGTGTACAAGATCAAAGCAGAAAATATGTTGTGTATCTACATATAGCAAAGAACTTTCCAAAAATGAAATTTTAAACAGTAAAAAGCATCCAAAAACAAAAGAATAAAATGGAAGGAAAAAGATTTATATATTGGTAATTATATAACATTGCTGAGAGAAATTAAAGAAGACAAATGGAAAAAAACACCCCTTTTTAATGAATTGAAAGAGACAGTAAAGACTGCTGTACCTCAAAGTGATGTACAGATTCAATGCAAACCCAATCAAAACTTCACACTTTGTAGAAATGGAAAAGTTTAATATGGAACTGCAGTTGGCCCTAAATAGAGAAAAAAAATACAGTTGGAAGACACCCTGATTTCAAAAAGTACTACAAAGCAATAACATCAAACAATATAGTACTGGCATTAGGATAAGCATATAGACTTATGAAATCAATTTGAAACTCCAGAAATGAACCTAAACATCTATGATCACCTGATTTTCAAAAAGGGTGTCAAGACTATCCAATGGGAAACAAACGGTCACTTCAACAGATACGGAAGACACTGGACTTCCACATGCTAAAAATGGATCTCTATCTCAGATGATAAACAAAAAATCATGCAAAGTAAACCAACACCTAAACTTAAGAACTAAAACCATAAAACACTTAGAAGGAAGCATAGTGTAAATCTTTACTTCCTTAGAGTTGACAGTAGATTCTTAGATCTGACACTCAAATCATGAGCAACAAATGAAAAACTGGATGCTACGCTCCAACAAATCTTTAAAACTTTCAGGCCTCCCTGGTGGCGCAAGGGATTAAAGACTATCAAGCTTTTGGCAGCTTGATAGTTCGATCCCCAGTCAGGGAAATAACCCACATGGCGCAGCAGACCTCTCCTGTCTTGCCTGATATTCCCCTCAGGAGCGTATTTCAGTAGTTCTGCTTCCCACTCTGTTTCTGGCAAATCCTCTCACCTCACCCCCTGCACCTCTCTGGCCTATACCCCAGTTCTTGTATGCATAAATAAATCTTAAAAAAAAAAACTTCAAAACTTTTGTACACATGAGGTCATTATAAAGAAAGTAAAAAGATGACGTACAGATTAGGAGAAAATGTTTGCAAATAATACATCTGATAAATTGTATTATCCAAATATACAAAGGAACAATTACAACCCACTAACAAAAAAAAAAAAAATCAATTTTAAATGGGCAAAGGGCTGAACAGATTATTTTGCCAAAGTTGATATTCAAATAGCCAACAAATATGTGAAAAGATAAGCAATATCACCAGTCACTAGGGAAATGTGACTCAAACCCACAGAGAGACACTAATTCACACCCATAAGGTAGGTAGTTTTTTAAAACCAGAAAACAAGTATTGATGAGGATGTGCATGAATTAGAATTCCTGCACTGGATAGTGAAATGGGTCAGCTGCTTCTGGAAACAGGCAGTTCCTCAAAATGTAAGAGTTACCACATGATTCTAGCATATACCTAGGAGTAATGAAAACATATCCACACAAAAGCTTGCACATAAATATTCATATCAGCATTACTGATAAAAGTTACAAAGTAGGAACAACTTAAATGTTCATCAACTGATGAATGGATAAACAAAATACAGTGTAACCAAACAAAGTATTCTGTTTTTTTCAGAAACAAAAAAGAAATGAGGTATTGATATATGCTACAATGTAGATGAAACTTGAACACATTGCCTTAAGTAAAAGGAATCAGTGACAAATGATCACATATATGATTTTATTAATAGTAAATGTCCAGAATAAACAAATGCTCAGAGATAGAAAGTAGATCCACAGTTGTCAGTGGGTAGGAGCCAGGAGGAATGGTGAGTGACTGATAACAAGCTTTTTTGGGGGGATAACAAAAAATTTTAAAACTGATTATGGAGACAGTTACACAACTCTGTGCACATACTAAAAAAAAAACCAAACTCACTAAACTATACACTTTAAAAGTATGAATGTCTTACTAAAGCTATTATAAGGAAAAAAAGCGGACTCAAGCCTTTGCCATATTAAAAAGCAAAAGCAAAAACCCTCCCTTAACCCTTTATCATCCTCTGCTACCATCTTTCTATTATTTCCTTCATAGGTAAGATTATTTTTAAAATAATCAACATTTGCTTACTCTCCTCTACTGCCCATTAACTCCTCAATTCAATAAAACTTAGCTCCCTCCCTCCAAATGGTAGCATTAGCTAGAATGCTACAAAATTGTTCTTAATTTTCAAATTCAATAGACTCCTAATAATCATTGTTTCACTCATATTCTCAAAGCATTTGAAATACACAGTGTCATTTTTTTTTTTCCTGGAATTTCAGTTGTGAAGGATTTGCTTCCTGCTGAATGATCCTATTTGGGCTACTACAACATTTTCTCATGAATTCTCTACAAGTCTCTAAACACTTAGGTCCTTTCCCAGTTCCACTTACATACGCAACTTTAAATGTTCACCTCAGCTTATTTCTAGAACCCTCCATCAGTAAACTATTTCTGTGTGGTGTGACCTAAGTTCAGTTACCACCTATGACACTGCCTCAAGACTCCTATATGAAGACCTCTCTAATGTACTCCAAACCCCACACCCAATTCTGTAGCAGATGTTTCCATTTGATGTTTCACAAATAACTCCCACTCATGTCCAAAAGCTAAAATATTGTTCCTCCCCCAAATTTGTTCCTCTTCCTTAATTCCTTGTCTCAGGATACTTTGCCTTTGTCTATTCAATCACTCAAGTTAAAAATGCAAGCCATCTTATTCTATTTCTCACTCTTAAACCCAGTGGTCACTGAATCCTTTGAATTTTTTTGCATTTGCCTTACTCTAATCTCCCATCTCAATTATTACAAAAAACTAACCAATGTTTCTACACTGTCTTATGTTCCTTTCTATTCCTTCTTAAACCTATATTGTACACTCTACAATACCAGAATAGTCTTTCTAAAATCAAAACTTGATCACATCTTCCCTAAAAAAAAAAAAAAAAAAAAAATCCATAGCCACTAATAGGGGGAAAAAAACATAAAATCCTTAGAATGGCTTGCCATACTTGAGGATCTATATAGTCTCACCTGCTAATTTCCAATACAAACCCACTGCTATAAGAACTTGCCATTCCTAAAAGTGTTCTATACTCTCTCTTATCATGTTCAACTTTCCCTGAAATTTACATTCCTTACCCTCCCATTTTCTGTTTCAGTCACGCCTAACACTCCTTTAAGTTTAAGGACAAAGTATGAAATACCTAATATAATGAATGTCTGACACATAGCAAGGAGTTAAAAATGGATTGAGCTGGCTTAGGTCTCACTTTATCCTGTTTTAATGACACCTATACAAAAATATAGAAGCTAAAACTGAAATTGCTTTAACTGTATACAAGACTATCCATAATTTGGTCTCTGCCTACCTCCCAGTTTCATGTCTAACCATTACCCTACACTCTCACTAGCTGTACTTGCAGATCCTACAACTCACTATGCAATTGTTTATTCCTGTGCTTTTAGGCACACTGTTCTTTCTACTAAACGCCCATCCTTTCTATGTCATACACTCACTGTTAGCTCCTATATAAAGCTGTTCCTTACCACTACCACTTTAGTCAACCTCTCCTCTTCCCTTAAGAAACTGACCACTACCCCTTTGTACATCCACTGTATCCCGCATACTTTCTCCAAGCAAACCAAGTTTAAAAAGACATTGTACTTGCTGACAAATCAAATGAAAGAAAAGCCCTATCATCCTGAAGGCGAGGCAATGCCTTCTCCATCTGCAAGTTTTCTTCACCTGGCACCGTACCCTTAATACAGTAAATCCTCTGTGGTAAATGATCCACATTTTTCTTCATTCCTTCACATACTTTAACATAGGCATCTGTCAGGAATTTTCTTTCAAGAATGAAAGGACATTTTATTGGATTACATTCTAGGCCCACTTCCTCGTTGCCAAAAAAAAAAAAAAAAAAAAAACAAAAACCTGTGCAAATCCAATTGTACAAACTAAACGTATGTATTTTTGATACACTTCCACTTTTTAAACTGGGGGAGAAATGGTCCCTGAAATATCTAAAATGAGCAATGATATTTTGAAAAGATAGCAAATTATGTCACACTGCTTAAATTAATTACGTCACATTGCTTAAAGATACTTTGCTTGAGAAAATTATTCCTCAACGGTTACTGTTTAACTCCCTTACCCTACTTGGATCTCTGGGCCACTTTGAAAAGTGGGAATTACTTAACTAACTTCCCATCAACCAGTATTCTGCCAATATAGCTTACAGTAATTACTCATTTCCAAATCGCCAAGATAATTTGAAAGGCAGAAAGTGAGGTTACTGTGGAACCAAGCATAAGTATACCTTCTTCATCTACAGTCCCATTTATTCACTTAGCAGCGCTGCCTCCTTTAGCACCAAACCAAAAGTGGGCCTGCTCCTTATCACCGTTTAAATATTCTATGAATAACTGCCAAGTATGATGAAATGTTTCCCAAAGTGCTGCAGCATCTGAACATGCCCACTCCAATAGACAAAAAATTCAGTGAAAGCACTTCTAATGAGGCTCGATAATGTGTTAACTCAGTGTCCAAAAGACTGTGCATCTATTACATGAACATTCAAAATACACGGAGTTAACATTTTAATTATCTTCAAGAACTCTACTAGGCCCTCTTGCTGCTTGTTTAAGTCTGGGAGGCTCTGTAAAGGAATGAATGCCGAAACTTGAAACAGCACAATGACTTCAAGTTAAGACCGAAGTGTGCAATATTCTGTAAAGCCTGTTTCACTCTTACAACGATAAATTAAATTAAAAAAAAAAAAAGACCTCACTAAGAGCATTTTGGTGCAAGCACGCTTAAAATGAGTTGCTCAACTCCAGTTCTGTCCATTCGCACTGAAACCTGACCTGAAGACCAGCACCCTAAGGAGCCCAGTGCTACCAAGCCAGCGATGGGAACACTAAGAGCGTTTCTAGTCCACTGGGCGAGCACTGGATGAGGGTCAATATTCCGGCGACGACTGAAATAGAATATGATTATGTAAAGACTGAACCCCCTCTTTTGCGTCCGGTCCCAGACGCCCACGACTAGCTCGGGGGCTGGGAGCCCTAAGGGGGGAGGGGTGGTCCCTGCACCCCCCTTCCAGAACACCAGAGCCCCAAATCACAAACGCGGACGCCCAAGGGAGGCCCGGCGGGCAAGCGGGAGGCACGGACAGCAAAGGGTGCTGGAACCCGGGAGAAGCCAGCCTGGGGGAGCCCGCACCCGGGGCAGCCACGCCCCCCACCCCCAACTCCAGCCGGCGCGCGGCAGCGCCAGCCCCGCCAGCCACCTGACAGATGCGGCCACCGGGAGGGCGCGGAGAGGGCGCCCACACGCGCGAGGGACGCCGCCGCGACCCGCGGACGCCGCCGCTGCCCGCCCTGACCTGTGTCCGCCGCCGCGCGACCGCCCGCCCCGCCGCAGCCACCGCCTCTTCGCTCTCACGATGCCGCCGCGGCCGCCGTCGCCACCTCCTGCGCGGCAATTCTCACCGGCCTCAGGCGCCCCATTCCCACCCCGCCCAGCCTCCGCCTGTTTACAATGATTGGGACAGAACGGAACGAGCCGGCCCAGCGCGCACGCGCACTCCCTCCTCCCGCCGCGGCCGGCTTCCCGGGTCCGCCTCTCAGTGCTGAC